GTTTTGAGCTGGGATAGCCTCCTGCAACCCTTGGCCAGTGAAAATGGAGCTTGGGAGGGCCGCACACAGGCCTCCTGAGCTCCGTTTTCACTGGCAGAGGCATTGTGGGCTGGTTCTTTGTTGTTTCCAGGACATCCCCAGATCTAAGCACCCCACGGGTTGGATCTGGCCCCTGGGCCTTGAATTTGACACCCCTGAAATAATTGGTGGAAGAGCTTAAAGGAAGGTGTCCACACACACACACACCACACACACACACACACTACACACTATTCTATACTAACTATATCTCCCTTCTTGCAACTGCAGAGTGCCAGAATTTGAATACCTCCTTCAAGTAATGGATATATAGCCATGTAGAGATCCATGACTTCAAATCCCAGTAGAGGATTTGAACCCCCTAGAGTAACATCTGGCTACCAAAGTTTGATGATTCTAATATGGCTAAAATTGGCTGCATAGAATAGCCTTTGACTTATGACTGGTCGCTTAGCAACCTTTCAAAGTTGTGACAAAGCTCCCCAGGGCTAGTTGTAACCTGGATTTAACATTCTGATGCTCCCTGCCCCTACACTCAGATGATTGTATTTTGGTGCTTGGCATGCAGCTCATATTGATGGCTGTTTACATGTCCTGTGGTCAAGGGACTGCAATTTACAACTGCAGTCTTGGCCTTATGACTGCAGTTGAGAAGCACTGCTTTAATGGTTGGTCTTTCTTGCTGCAAGGATTACAGTATCCCAAACCCACTCCCCGCTCTTCAAAAAGTTCCTTTACTTCTGCCTTTCATAAGCTAATATAAAAATGTTATCCTTATTAAAAATCGGGAGAGTGTAGTAGTTAAAAGTGCTGGGTCAGGGATGGGGAGACCCCTCTCCGAGTTCTCCCTCACACATGGAAATAAAATTGCCACTCTGACTTAGTCCTCATAGCAATAGAAATAACACTTAAACTTATATACCGCTTTCCAGTGCTTTCCAGCCCTCTCTAAGTGGTTTACAGAGTCAGCATCTTGCCCCCAACAATCTGGGTCCTCATTTTACCCACCTCGGAAGGATGGAAGGCTTGAGCCTGGTGAGATTCGAACTGCCAAATTGCAGGCAGCTGGCAGAAGTAGCCTGCAGTATTGCATTCTAACCACTGCGCCACCGCAGCTCTAATCAGTGTCAGGTTCTGTGTCAAGCCGCCTGAAAAATAACATTCTTCCTAGCATCATGCATCGGTAAACATTGCTGTAAGAACTGGATGAATGCAATGCAAATAAGCTCTTAGCCCCGTGATGGCGAACCTATGGCATGCATGCCACAGGTGGCACGCAGAGCCCTTTGTGCCGGCACATGAGCTGCAGGCAAACTTACCTCACTGGGCATGTGCCACATCTTACAGCTGATTTTTGGCCAGTTTGAGGCCTTTTTCGGCCTCCCAAAGGCTTGAGGAAGGCTTCTGCAGGCTTTGCAGGCTGAAAACTAGTCCCATTTCATCACTTCCTGTTTTTTCCAAAAATACTGGAAGTGACAAAATGGGGGTAGTTTTCGGCCTGCAAAGCCTGCAGAAGCCTTCCACAAGCCTTTGGGAGGCCGAAAAAGGCCTCAAAGTGGCCAAATATCAGCTATGAGGTGCAGTGCAGGTAAGGGGGAGATGGGGGTGGGTGGGGATTACGTGTGCATGCGTAGGGGGCATGGGGGGCGCACATTGCCTTCTGGGTGCTGGCATGCACCCAAAAAAGTTAGCCACCACTGTCTTAGTCCTTGAACTAAGGAAGCATGTACTAAGAAGAAGAAAACTCCAGGATTTCTAGTGTGTTTTGCCTTTCTCAAAGTGAGTTGATTAGCCTGCCAGATATTTAGGCTTGGCTGGAATCAGACACCAGGCCTTTGAAAGGGGGATCATGAGATATAGGTACAGAGACGGGGATATATTTTTGCTCTTTATTTTTAAAGATGCAGATGGCAAAGGTGCCTTCATAATATTGTCAGTGCATGGTTTATGTGGAATTCTGTGAATCATAATCTTGGATCCAAGGCAAGGTCACCAAGCTTCTCAGTGGCTTCTGTGGTATCATTTCAAGCATGCCCATCTGTAACTGGCATCTTCAGCATGGCATTGCTGGCATGCCTTTCTTCAACTTTTTAACTCATGGAAGTCATCCTGGCAGCAAGATGACCAGCTTACTGGTCATGAAGGAGAAGGCCACCTCTTGGAGACTACCATCTTGAAACCAGATTGAAGAGAACCAGCAGAAGAGTATTTTCCATGGGAAAAATCACTCACGCCTTCTGCTATGTGAAGCTGGGTGAGACTTTGTGAAAGAAGAGCTAAGGAAAGTCAGATACATTGTAGTGAACAGAGGGACTGGCCCTGAGGGACAGGAGGAAGAACTGCTACCAAAGCAATGATAAGATAAAAGGGGTTTGAGCCCAGGCTAAGAATGTAACCTAAATAGATTTCTGTGACACTTCCCTCCCAAATTCACAAAAAGGGATAAAGGGAGGGAGGGGAAAAGAACATTCTGATGTACACGATTCTGTTACTATAGTTTTATCCCAAAGATGTTTTTTCAGGAGGCAACTGGACTTTCTTGTTTTTTCTTTGAAGACGTTTCTCTTCTCAGCTTCTTTAGCTCTGACAGAATAGTGGGGAATGGAAGGATCTAAACGGATGCAAATGACCAGCTGTCTGCAAGGAATATAAATCCTTCCATTTACCACTATCCTCTCAAGAGCTGATGAGAAGCGAAACGACTTTAAAGAAAAAAAACAGAAAGTCCAGTTTCGGACAACCATGAGCTGGATGACTGAGAATCTCTACAGATTTTTCACTATAGCTTTATATTACTCATCTACATGGAATTGGTTTCCTACCCTGATCTACCTTGAAGTGCTGATACATCTTCAGTTGGCTTGCTGTAGGATTGTCTCTCCCATTCAGCCATGAGGTCCTACGGCTGTGGCCATTTTTTCCTTTGGCTTCTGGAGAGGGTGCACCCATGCCCAGCAGCCACAGTTTTCTTTTTTGCTCCACTAAGACCGTTGATCTCCTGGAAGATGTATCGTGATGCTACTACTAGTAATATTCCCATTGGCAATAATATTCCTGGCAGCATAAAAGCTTCTAAGTAAAATGTGGCTGGAATGCAGCAAGTAGACAATTCCTACTTGCTGCCTTCATCAGCTTTAGCTGATTCTCTCCATCCAGCACAGAGATATGTCCAGAAATTACTTTGCTGAGAGGCAATGATAGGTACATCTTGAGGAAAAAGTGGGGAGCTTCAGAGAAGGGGGAAAATCCCTTTCCCTATTCCTCTATGCTGCTGCTGCTTCTGCAGCAGAAGAAGACAACCTAGCTGTTGTACGAAGGGCATATTTTTGTTGGATCATATTCAAAGTGTGGGAAAAAGACTGCTGAAGGCAGTGTTTTTCCTCTCTGTCCCTCATCTTGAGAATGGGAAGAAAACCCTTAATCAAAAGAAGTGCCCTTATTTTGGCTTCATTTTTTTTTTCCTGAGGAGAGAATACGTGTTCCACCAAGCAATTGTGAACAGTTGATTGAAGGATCAAAATCAGAACTCCTCTCTGACCAAACTGCAGGCCAGAAATCCTTACTGACTTTAAATGAAACCTAGCATCCAGGGCCAGATGGATTGCATCCTAGAGTACTTGAAAGATGTTAATGATCTGGCTGAACTTCTGTTCTTTATTTTTTGAAAAAAAAAAAAAAATCAGCAACTGGGTGAAGTTCCAAATCACTGGAGGAAGTTGTTATCTGCAGAGGAGGAAGGGAAAGTTTGGCAACTACTGCCTGATGAGATTGTAAATCAGATTGTAAGTAGATTGATATGTAGGTATTGTGCAAAAAGGTAGTGATTGTTAGAGGTTGTTATTGTTATTGTTGTTATTATTGTTATTGTTATTGTTGTTATTATTATTATTATTATTATTATTATTAGTAGTAGTAGTAGTAGTACATGGTATTGTTACAGTAACCAGCAGACCTCAATGCAATTCCAGAGTAACAGTTTGGATTTCTAAGGTACCAGCCCTATTGTAGGACATGTTTGCATACTTTCCATGGTGCACCACAGGAGGCTGAGTTGGCCTCACACCAGAGAGAAAAACTTCCTGCAGCATCACCCAAGTCCTCCTCTCTTCCCTGCAACCAGGAAGGTTCTGAACCATCAGGAATCTGACTGCCTGCACAGAGTACCAACTTGTCTCCCAACCGAAGTGAGACCTGTCTTTCTACTCGCATAGAACATGCTTTCAAACTGCAAAGTGGGCAGAAGCCGAGGCCAGAGATGAGAACTCACCCTGCCACGTGGTGCTAAGACTCAAACTGCCAGAGCAGAGATCATCTCCAGCATCATTAAGCCACTGAGCCGCTGTGCCTCTTATTGCTAGAGGTTAAAATGGATTTGTCAAGAAAATGTCTTCTTAGGTTACAGAAACATGGTTTCTTTCTTTTCTCTTTTGAATTTGGTAACTATAGTAGTAGATAATGGGAATATACTTAGCTGCAGTGGGACAGTGGTTAGAGTGCAGTACTGCAAGATAACTTCTGGTGACTACTGGCTGCCTGCAATTTGGCAGTTCAGATCTCACCAGGCTCAAGGTTGACTCAGCCTTCCATCCTTCTGAAGTCGGTAAAATGAGGACCCAGATTGTTGGGGGCAATAGGCTGACTCTGCAAACCACTTAGAGAGGGCTGTAAAGCATTGCAAAGCAGTTATATAAGTCTCCGTGCTATTGCTATATTATAGACTAGGGGTCCCTGGCCACGGCCCATTCAGAACCGGGCTACAGAAGTGGTGGGTGAGCACACACGTAGGTGCAGCTCCATGTACGCAGCTCTATTTGTGTGAGCAGTGGGTGCCCATGCCCGCTGCTTGCACAAATGGAGCTGTGTGAATGCTCGCTCACTGCTCACATGGAACCATCCCTTGTCCCCCTCCCTCCCCCAGTCTGCCAAGCTGGAAAGGTTGGCGATTGTCATTATAGACAGACTATCTCAGTGCATTCTCATTAGAAAGCTACTTCAAAGCGCAGTGGGGCGGGGGGGCAGATGGTATGTGAATTAAGAGAACCCACAGCTAAATGAAAACTGTACGCAAAGAAGACTCGTGAAATTGGAAGGAAGTATCCAATGAAGTGTCGCAGGCCACTTTGCCCCTCAGTGTCCTTGGGTGCTGCCTAGCTCTTCTGGAAGTAGATGCTGTTTCAAAGACTTCTTTACGGTTCTAAGTCGAGGACTACCTGTACATGAATATCCAGATACACAGAATTATAGAGTTGGAAGGGACCTTGGAGATCTTCTAGTCCAACCCCCTGCTCAAGCAGGAGACCCTATACCATTTCAGACAAGTGGCTGTCCAGCCTCTTCTTAAAAACCCTCCAGTGATTCATTGTTTAACTGTCAGGAAATTGCTCCTTATTTCTAAGTTGGATCTCTCTTTGATTAGTTTCCATCCATTGCTGCTTGTTTTGCCTTCAGGTGCTTTTTTAAGAACATGCTTGTCCTACTGGAAAGCCAGCTTTCAAACAAATAAAATAAAACAATAAATAAAAGTGAGACTCTGCACATCATGTGTTTCCTGGGTACAACAAATGAATTCTAGACCAAAAGCCACCAACAAGTGTCCTGAAATAAGCCATACCTCGAGAAGTTTACGCAGCTCTTGGCTCATGAGAGTAGCTGAGTGGAATCGTAATTCACACTTGCGTTTCTTTTTCCTTGCTCTGTCCTTGTTAGCCTGGAAATGTCTTTAGAAAGCTCCAAGAGAAACAGATTCTTCCTCCAGCACAGCTTACTTTGCTTCCCTTGGCCTCTTTCTGAGAGAGTTTGCTTTGCAATGTGGTAGCGAAAGAGGAAAAGAACGTGGAAGGGTAACCTGAAAAAGAGAGAGAGAGAGAGAGAGAGAGAGAGAGAGAGAGAGAGAGAGAGAGTTCTACTTTACCAATTCAGTTTTTGAGATCAGGAAAAGGTTATAAAGCAATAATTTGGTGACCAGTCTTGTTCATTGCAAAATAGAGATGTACCAAATGTTCTAAGTTCAGGATACTCTTGAGTTCAAAATAGCTGTTTGGGGAAGTTTTACACTGGAACAAAACTACTTTTATTTTAGTCTTTTTTTCAAGTTTACTCTCTGTCACAAGGAATGCTGGAAACTTGAAATAACTTTGTTCTGGAATTGAAAAATAGGTGATATTCTAGTGCAGGCTAAGCAGACCTGCAACCGAATTTTGAGAAAAATTCATAAAGAGGATAATATTTAAGGATCTAAAATCCTACAGCAAACCAGGAAGAGGTATCCATTTGCTTCTGATTTCAAATTTCCGTTCTCTTGGTTAAATGTTTTGTTTCACAGAAAGGCAGCCAATTTGAAAATGCCCTAGCAAAACCACCTCTGCCATATCATATAGGCCCCTATTTTGGAAGTTCTCGGATATAATTCCTGGAAGAATTACCTTGGCTTTGTCAAGTGGTGTGGGCCTATGGTTATGTCTGCCACAATGCTCTCTGCTTTGTTTACTTCATATTTTCCTTGGCTGATACAAGCACAGCAAACTTCAGAATTGCATGAAAACTTGCATGTAAAGAGCAAATGGAAGTTCAGATCCTGCCTAGGTAAACTATATATCATAATATTGACCGTTAACGTGCATCCATGTAATGAAATGCGAAGACAGATGGTTGGATTGCTTTGAGTAGGTAGGTCCTTCACCACTTGATTTGATGCTTTTTCTTATAACTAATTACAACAAGGTTTTTGGGGAGGGATCTACCTACCATTTCTTGCTGGTATTCCCACATGACTGTATGACTGTAACCTTGCTGCTTGTATCCTAACAATTTTTATTGACTGTTTCCTTGTATGATTTGATTGCTTATAGTACCCTATGACTATTATTTAGTGTTGTACTTTATGATTCTTGACTCTTGATGAATGTATCTTACTTTTATGTACACTGAGAGCATTTGCACCAAGACAAATTCCTTGTGTGTCCAATCACACTTGGCCAATAAATTATTCTATTCTATTCTATTCTATTCTATTCTATTCTATTCTATTCTATTCCATTCCATCTGTTCCTATTTCTGTTCTGTTCTATTCCATTCTGTCATTTTTCAGTGCCCTAGTCTGGAGACAGGTGTTTAGGGGTTGGCCCTGAATGCTCTCTGGAGGATTGATGGGACTTAGAGACGACCACATCTTCACATAGCCAAAGCAGAGACGGTTGGAGTAGAAGACAAATGGAACCTCCTGAGGGGTCTTCTTGAATTGCATTGCGTGCACACTGAGGATTACAGGGGAGATTTCTCCTCTGTTGCTCCTGTAATAAGACCTGAAGCGGTTTGACCTGAAGAAACTTAACTGCAGTTATGCTGAGGCAATGCTATTTGCTTGCTCTAGTGGGGCAGGGAGAGAAACCACAGTGATCTAGGAAGTGCGTAAATGCAAACAGAGGTGAGGCCCCACCTCCCAAACATGTGTGTTTGACAGATATGACAGTGTCTTGCAAGGTCATGCGGTTTTAAAGTTCTTTAAAAGATATCACTCGTGAACAGTGTAGAAAAAAAAAGCACATATACTCACACACACCAAAAACCTTCCATCTCTCTCTCTCTCTCTCTCTCTCTCACACACACACACACCCCACCCCCTGGTGGCCTCTGCTATTAACTTGCAAAGTGATAAAGCCATGTTGGTAGCATTGGGGTTGGAAGGGCATAAATCATAGAATCATAGGAAAATGGTGGAGATTCCCTAATCGGCTGTCTGGTTTTGTCACACAATTGAAAGTTCTGTTTGCGTCAAAACTGTAGGAATTACGAGAGGGAACCTAATCCTTAAATAAGCAAGTTTGGAACCTATTTTAAGGGGTGTCCTTTGCCTTGTCTTGTTTTAAATGGAAAGAGGAGTAAATTGCTTTCTCGTCAAGTGATCGGGTAAGGCCTGTTGGCATTGTTTGAAAAAAATACAGCAAGTTTTCAGTTCCTTAATTCTAACTAGGAGTTGATTTTCTTTTCTGAGCAATGAGGATTCTTGTAATGTGACAATAACTCAGCCTTGTCAAGTCTATTCTGTGGACTTGCCAGGGATATGAATCATTTTCAAATGGAGTAGAATTTATTCGTTTACGGTCTCAGACCAATAAAACAAAAACACAGAACTTAAAATTTAGAAATACCAATAAAACGCAGATAGGATTCATAAGAGGATGGTATGTCTGTCATTGCTTTCCAATCAAACCACTTATCTGTATCTTCCCTTTACAAGAAAGCACTTGTTAATGTGTTAGATGTGAAAAATTACTAGGGATCCTTTCTTTCCCTTTCCCTTTCCATCCCATCCCATCCCAAGCTAGCATCTTCCTAAACAATTTTGCTAATTAGGAATTGTGGGTAGTTCTGTATTTAAATTTTTATTAGTTTATCAAAATAGAAAATACAAAGGAAAAAAAATGAAAGTAAAAGGAACGTAAGGGAGGAAAAAGGGAAGGGAAAAACTTGTAGGGTAAAGTAAAGAGGGGGGAAAAAAAGAAAAGCATTGACTTCTGACTCATTTTAATGCAGTAGAATAAGGTAATAACATAATGGGTATTGGAATCCAACACATCTTGGAAGATATCAAGTTCACCAATACTTGCTATAACTGTTGCTATTGGGACTAGATTAGCACAGTGAATTTATCTTCATGCTTTTTGTTCGTTTTAACAAGTGTCTGAGATGAAGCTGAAGCAGTTTTTAAAATGAAAATATTGGATGTGTTTAGCATGCACTGGAAGTTCCTTCCCCGTCATGAAACTTCTACACCCCATATCACTTGCAACACTCTTGAAAATTGAAAACAGTTCATCCCTTTTAATAATTTAAACAATACAGTCAAAAGACGAACAGAGGTAGAGGCAAGCATTTCAAATTGAGGCTGATTTTCAACTGTGTTATTGTAATGTAGGTTCTGTTGAGTCAATATGAAATGCTTGCCTCTACCTCTGTTTGTCTTTTGACTGTATTGTTTAAACCAGAGGTCTCCAAGCTTGGCAACTTTTAAGACTTGTGGGCTTCAACTTCAGCATAGCTGGCTGGAGAATTCTGGGAGTTGAAGTCCACAAGTCTCAAAGTGGCTGAGTTTGGAGACAGACCCTTGGCTTAAACTCTTGAAAATGTAGGCAAGGAAAATTATAGATACAAATGATTACTGAAATCCATTCTCTGTGGGGAACAGCATACTCCTTTAACATGAGTTGATCACCAAAGGGAAGTTCAGCATTTGAGTCCTCCTTCCAAATTGGTTCTGTCTGTCTTATGTATGTGTATTTGTTTTGCTTTGACTCATGTGGTTTGTGTTCTCAGTAGCTCAGATAGGGCCGCACGTACCAAAGTTCCTCAAAACCCATGTGTGTCCTCCCAGCTGTAGTTTTTTTTTTTTCCCCAGTTGTTCCTAGCCACAAAACAGCACCAGCCCTTTTTGGAGTGGCTTGGCCTATAAAGCAACTTGAGAGCTTCTGAGTTTTCCTGCACAAGGAGGGGGTGTGAGTTTGCTTTGGAGAGGCTGTGACAGGGCCATGACCCCATTGGATCCCACGCCTTCTGGGAGGCCATGTGATGAGAGACTGCTGCCTCTGCTGCAGCCCGTTATCATCCTCACATGAAAGCATTTTGAGCTGCAGGAAAGCCGTTTCATAAACTTTCTGGAGGGGGAACAGCTTCTGTCCTGGGTGGAGATTTCAGGAACGGGTGGGCAACCTGGGGCTGACTGTTGATTCCAAAGTCTCAGCTTCAGTAGTAGATTTTTTTTTTAAAAAAAAGATAATTCTTTCAATCAGAAACAAAACAATTGAGGGAAGCCAACATGCGGACAATCAAACTACCAGCTTCTGCTATCTCACCTGGTCCAAGAATGTTACTGAGTTCTGCAGAACCTCATAGGGTATTTTTTGGAAAATAAACATTGTCTAAATTCATTTTCTAAGAAGAGCAACAAAGATGATGAGGGGCTGGAGGGTAAAGCATAGGATGAACAGTTGCAGGAACTGGGTATGTCTAATCTAATGAAGAGGCGGAGTAGGGGGTGACATGACAGCAGCCTTCCAGTATTTGGGTAACTGTCACCAAGAAGAGGGAGTTGGCCTGTTCTCCAAGGCACCTGATGGAAGCTTATCAAAGAGAGATCTAACCTAGCATTAAAGAGAAATTTCCTGACAGTGAATTAATCAGTGGAATGGTTTGCCTCCAGAAGTTGTGGATGCTCCATCACTGGAGGTTTTTAAAGAAGACATTGGACAGCTATTTGTCCTGAATGGCATAGGCAGGGGTGCAATTCAACCGGTGTAACAACCAGTCCAGTGAGGGCATGGTTTGCCTGAACCGGTCCGAACCAGTAGAATCCCACCCCTGGGCATAGGGTCTCCTGCTTGAGTAGGGTGGGTGGGTTTCGAAGACCTCCAAAATCCCTTCCAACTCTGTTATTCTGTATTTGGTGAGTTCTAGCCTGGTTTCAGAATGTCTCGTCCGCTCAGAAAGAAAGGACAGGAGGTATGTGGGACACAGCATTCAGATGATGAGGCTAGAAAGAGTGGCGGAGGACAGCCTCACCATTTTGCTATCTGATAAATGCATGCCTGGGAGGGCTGACCTCTATGCCTAGTGGGCATTCTCATGAGAGAATCCACCAGAAGCTCAGAACTCCTCAGCGGGCCTAGAACTTGCAAAAGTAGTTGCTTGCTTGTTTGTTCATTTCTATTTTGTGTTCCTAGACCACCCATCTCCCCCAAAGAGGCAGGTTGTCTCGCCTTAAGGCAGATGTGTGGGTATGATGATCATCAGAGCTGCTTTGCACCTTTCTGCACCTGGGAAGAATCTTACGTTAACTTGGTAGCACAAGAGGAGTCTGGTCTCCTTTGGAGATTAATTTTAGCTTATGTGGTTCAGTAAAAAACAACAACAACGATTTCCTGCAGCTTTGTCCTGGGAGTTGCTTTGATGGAGTTGCTTCCAATTTCAGCCTTCCCATTCTCTTTTCCTTGTCTTGTAGTCTGAACTGCTGGAGGGTTACTATTTCCTGCGCTTGAACGTTCTCCCGAAAAGGAAGAGTTCAGAGCCAATAAATGTGGGCATCTCCCATACCTTCTAAGCCTTCTGCCGTAGCTGCAACCCTGCACTGGCTCAGGAAGAACAGCGTAGTATTTCTCTTGCCTTTTCCTTCACTATTCCCCATGATTTCCAACACATCTGGGAACCATTTGGGACACAGCCATTGTAATGAGTGTCCTATTCTCTCACTTCCAGAAGTCATTAGGTTGGCTAGTCTAGCAAAAAGGGATATAATTCTGCTTAGCAATAACATTTTATTTCCCCCCTGTAGAGTTGTAATTGCAGGAATGTTCCAATCTCGGATGGCAAACCTCAGATAAAGAATGTTTCCAAGCAAATACAACTCAGGTAAACAAAGTCACTAATCTAAAGGAGGATTAGAGAGAGGAAGTAAACATATGTTAGACTTTAACTAGAGATAATTAATTGTGTGGATTACTGTACTAAACAGTAACGAAAGTTAAGCAGTAACCAAAGTTAACCAGTGATGGAGGATAACTAAAAATGTGTATAAATGCAAGACTAGACTCCAATAAAGATCATCATGATTCAGTTGTTCATGATCAAACAGTTCAACTGCTTCATCATTACAACACCGCCCTTGTAATTTACAGCTACATTTCTAAAAACCAAAACATCAATTTTTTATGCTACCTGTAGTTGAGAAGATTCCTGTGCATAGGTACTTACTTCAGCAACCGAGTGATCAATGTCTGGAATACTCCACCTGACTCTGTGGTTTCTTCCCCAAACCCCAAAAACTTTAATCATAGACTGTCTACTATTGACCTCACCCCCTTCCTAAGAGGTCTATTGTTTCTTTTATTTTTCTTATATGTACCCATTTCATGTATTCGTAACTATGTATATACTTATACCTATTATCTTGTAAATGATTGACAAATCAAAATAAATAAGTAAAAAATAAATAAATAGGTATAAGTAGGACTAAATCAGTTAATTTGAACTTCGTGTATTATCCTAGTCTTTTGCCCATGATATTACCTATCCGTTTTACTGTCACAAGCTAACATGGTTCTTCCTCCCTATGCCTTACCTATATTTTGGCAGGGGTGGTGGTAGATTGGGTAGATGATAATAGTTGGATGTCATTATGTGTTTCTGTGATTTTCAGCAGGCGACAAACTCAGACTCTACACAAGGAAATTGAATTTGTACCCACCCAAATGCGATTGGATCACCAATCCCATTGTGCCCAGCAGTTAGCCACGCTGACTTTCAGATGATGAGATTTGTGTCTGGCATCCCCTAGTAGAAATAGGGTCTCTTCTCAAAAGCATACATCAATCGTGCATAACTGATCTTTCTTTGGAAGAGTTAACCATCTCCAGTTGAGTCATAGCAACACATTTCTGAACCATCTTGTTTTTGGAGAATGTCAAAAGTAATCCCAACAGAAATTACCTTGCAAAGTATTGCATATCAACTATACAGGTGAAACTCAAACAATTAGAATATCGTGCAAAAGTTCAGTTATTTCAGTAATGCAACTTAAAAAGGTGAACCTAATATATGAGATAGACTCATTACATGCAAAGCAAGATAGTTCAAGCTGTGATGTGTCATAATTGAGATGATGATGGCTTACAGCTCATGTAAACCCCAAATCCACAATCTCAGAAAATTAGAATATTGTGAAAAGGTTCAATATTCTAGGCTCAAAGTGTCCCACTCTAATCAGCTAATTAAGCCATAACACCTGCAAAGGGTTCCTGAGCCTTTAAATGGTCTCTCAGTCTGGTTCAGTAGGAATCACAATCATGGGACAGACTGCTGACCTGACAGTTGTGCAGAAAACCATCATTGACACCCTCCATAAGGAGGGAAAGCCTCAAAAGGTAATTGCAAAAGAAGTTGGATGTTCCCAAAGTACTGTATCAAAGCACATTAATAGAAAGTTATGTGGAAGGGAAAAGTGTGGAAGAAAAAGGTGCACAAGCAGCAGGGATGACCGCAGCCTGGAGAGGATTGTCAGGAAAAGGACATTCAAAAGTGTTGGGGACTTCCACAAGGAGTGGACTGAGGCTGGAGTCAGTGCATCAAGAGCCACCACACACAGACAGATCCTGGACATGGGCTTCAAATGTCGTATTCCTCTTGTCAAGCCGCTCCTGAACAACAAACAACGTCAGAAGTGTCTTACCTGGGCTAAAGAAAAACAGAACTGGTCTGTTGCTCAGTGGTCCAAAGTCCTCTTTTCTGATGAGAGCAACTTTTGCATTTCATTTGGAAACCAAGGACCCAGAGTCTGGAGGAAGAATGGAGAGGCACACACTGCAAGATGCTTGAAGTCCAGTGTGAAGTTTCCACAGTCTGTGTTGATTTGGGGAGCCATGTCATCTGCTGGTGTTGGTCCACTGTGCTTCATTAAGTCAACACAACCGTCTACCAGGAGATTTTGGAGCACTTCATGCTTCCTTCCGCAGACGAGCTTTATGGGGATGTTGACTTCATTTTCCAGCAGGACTTGACACCTGCCCAAACTGCCAAAAGCACCAAAACCTGGTTCAATGACCGTGAGATTACTGTGCTTGATTGGCCAGCAAACTCACCTGACCTGAACCCCATAGACAATCTATGGGGCATTGCCAAGAGAAAGATGAGAGACAAGAGACCGAACAATGCAGAAGGGCTGAAGGCCACTATTGAAGCATCCTGGTCTTCCATAACACCTCAGCAGTGCCACAGGCTGATAGCTTCCATGCCACACCACACTGAGGCAGTAATTGCTGCAAAAGGGGCCCAAACCAAGTACTGAGTACATATGCATGTTTATACTTTTCAGAGGTCCGATATTGTTCTATGTACAATCCTTGTTTTATTGATTTCATGTAATATTCTAATTTTCTGAGATTGTGGATTTGGTCTTTTCATGAGCTGTAAGCTATAATCATCGCAATTATGACACATCACGGCTTGAACTATCTTGCTTTGCATGTAATGAGTCTATCTCATACATTAGTTTCACCTTTTAAGTTGCATTACTGAAATAAATGAACTTTTGCACGATATTCTAATTTTTCGAGTTTCACCTGTAGAAGCTAGCTCAGCAAAAGTGTTGTGTGCAATGTCCCCTTTGATTTTGCAAGTGGATGAGTTTCCAGGATACACACACACACACACACTGCGCTTGACAAGGACAAAGTTCATAAACAAAATTGCTTGAAGTTCAGAACTTTTGCAAAATACGCATATGGGCTGTAATAAAAGGGGAACGGAGCATGCGCAAATGACAGGATGCTTGGCAAGGATTTGCCAGGTTGTATTTTCTGAACTCAAGTCCTGTTGTTCATTAATGTGGTCTACCTTAAGGCTATGACATTCTGCCCATAATAACTGGAGAAGTTCTTCCTCCCTCCCTAAAATTAAGAAGTAAATGCCTTTTCTGCATATTATGTACCATATTATATACATTAGGGAAAGATGTGCAGAGTGTAGATTACTGCCTGTTTTAGTACATTAAAAAAAAGAGAATCTAGTGCGATACAGAAATTTGGGGGAAAAACAGATTGGTGAAGAAATTCTTGAAAAACAGATATGGAGCTGTAGACGGAAAACAGGGTGTGGGGAAAATTCCTATTTCGTGTACTGTATATGTTTACAAATTTCTGCCCTTCTGCAGAAATAGAAAAAAAATAAAAGGCTGCTTTGTATATATTTCATTTCTCCTAAAGCGTGTTAAGACATCCGTACTTTTTCTCCCTGTGAATAAGCGAGTTGAAACCATGCCCTTCTTTCTCAAGATAAACAGTGTCTCCTCTTCATTTGGACGTGTGTGGATATTAAAATTAACATTATTAAATGGCAGATTTAAGAGAAAACATTCATCCTGTACAAATGTTGCAATAGGAAGATATTTGAAAAACTGCGTAATTGACCAGCACAAAATTAAAACAATTAGAAAAAATAAATAAATAAAAAAAGATATCTCTGAGCTAACAGTTTAAAAAGGCAGTTTATTTAGAGTGAAATTGTGTAAGGACAACAGGATGACAGAGTTGGAAGGGAGCTTGGAAGTCTTCTAGTCCGTGGGTCACCAGCCTTTTGGACCTCAGGGACCATCAAACTCATAATTTTAAATACCACAGACCACTAATATGAATTTTGACTGACGGTGGCTTGCTGACTTTTTTCCAGGGTCTCTGCAGAAAGAAGCAGAGACCCTGGAAAAATACCAAAAAAAAGTCTGCAGGAAAATTCCCCACCCCATTTTCCTACCGATCGATTATTCTTTATTTGGGATCACAGGATACCATCTCCAGCTCTGTTCTCAGGGAGGGAGGGAGGGAGGGAGGGAGGGAGAGAGAGAGAGAGAGAGACTTTTGGTTTCATGCAAGGAAAGCAGCAGAAGCAGCAGAAGTCTTTCTTTCTCTCCCCCAAACTCTACCAGAAATGAGTCTTTGTGAGATTTGTCATGCCGGCGCAACCTCTTGGAGCAGGATGCCTTGTAAGGTCCCAAAGAATCATTTCTGGTGGAGTTTGGGGGAGAGAAAGAAAGACTTTTGCTGCTTTCCTTGCATGCAGCCAAAAGCAGAAGAAGAAAGAAGCAGAAAGAAGAAGCCCGGTGGCCAGGCGAGTGGTGCAAGTCCCCCCCCTCTGCCCTTTCCCCCCTCCCCTCACTACCTTATGTTGTTCGCAGTGCAAGCGACACAAGCCGCGTGTTCCCGCAGGCCATTTGGGCGGCACAGCCTTGTGTTCCCGTGCAGTCTGGATTAATTGTTTCGGGGGTGCTTTGGGGGTGACATTTCTCTGTGGACCACCAAAATTTTCTCGCAGACCACCAGTGATGCCTGGCCCACTGGTTGGCAAGCACCGTTTTAGTCCAACGTCCCTGCTCAGGCAGGAAACGCTATACTAATTTAGACAAGTGGTTATCCAGTCTCTTCTTAAAAGCCTCTAAAATAAATGATGGAGCACCCACAACTTCTGAAGGCACTGGTTAATTTTTCTAATTGTCAGGAAATTTCTCCTTAATTTTAGGTTGCTTATTTCCTTGATTAGTTTCCACCCATTGCCTGTTGTCTTACCCTCAGGTGCTTTGGGGAATAGCTTGATTCCCTCTTCTTTGGGGCAGCCCTTCAGATATTGGAACATTGCTATCATGTCACCCTTAGTCCTTCTTTTCATTAAACTATGGACATGATGGGAAAGTTAGATGCTCTGTTTCTTAACACCTATTGAAATAGTTAATATCTATTTCCCTGATCTCTTGCATTTTCCTCAAATCTCCATAGAAAAGCTCTGCTTTTTCTTTCCAGTTTCTTAATTGTTATATGTTTGGCAGCTTGAGTTTGAGATCAAAATGTGTAAGCTCCATGGAGCAATGCCTTTTGTTACGCACACTGTTTTCTAAAGTCCAGGATTACCCTGGGAGAAATTAACAGTGCTTTCTCTGTTCCTTTGCTGCAGCTGAGAAGCATTTGGAATAATCCTATTTATTTATTTACTTCCTTGTGTGTTTTATTTATTTCTTCTGCTGTCGCTCTCAGGGCGACATACAGTGAAGGCACCGCAGAAATAAATACAGAGGCTTAATAAAACCACGGTCAAATTAAAATGGGCCATCAAGGCAGCACTTAACTTAAAAACATCACCAGGTGGCCGAACCTCTGAAAGTGAAAAACTGATGGTAAAATAAAAATTGGTTGTTGGTTTTTTTGGCACCGTAAAGAGAGCATAGAAGGCATTAGTGACTGTTTTAGGGAGGATAACAGCCTAAGCAAGTAGACCAGACTGGAAACACAATCCAAACAGCTAATTTTACTTTATTGTGAAGTTACATTAACAGAATCCTGCAAATCTTGAGGCTACATTCTCTTCCCATCTCCTTTACTCCTGAAAAATTTAGGAGTCTCTTCTGAGCTTTTTGCCTTGTCCTTTATTCAGCTGTGGACTATATTTATTTTTTGTTTTAAATATGGTTTTACATTGTGTAAGCTGCCTCGAGTCGCCATGGGCAAATAGGCGGCAATATAAAATAAATAAATAAGTAAGTAAATAAACAAACAAACAAACAAATAAATATGCTGTCTCTTATCCGACCATTTCCTAGGCAATGTGTCTCAGGGTCATTCTGACATACCATTACAGAGAATGTTCTGTAGCTGGGAGAGAACTTTCTGGCTTGCTTGGGATATGAGGGCTTTGGAACAAAATTTCTGAGGATGATCTCAGGGCTTGTAAGCTTGTAAGCTGTTTTTATTTATTGATTTGATTTGATTTGTCAATTGCTTACAAGATAATAGGTATAAGTATAAACATAGTTATGAATACATGGATACATATAAGAAAAATAAAGGAAACAATAGGACAGGGACGATAGGCATGTTGGTGCGCTTATGCACGCCCCCTACAGACCTCTTAGGAAAGGGGTGAGGTCAATAGTTAGACAGTCTATGGTTAAAGTTTTTGGGGTTTGGGGAAGAAACCACAGAGTCAGGTAGAGTATTCCAGACATTGACCATTCTGTTGCTGAAGTCGTATTTCCTGCAATCAAGTTTGATGCGGTTTACCTTGAGTTTGTATCTATTGTTTGCTCTTGTATTGTTATAGTTGAAGTGCTTTCAGTGTCGGGATTGCAAGCTAGTCCTAAGTAGAACTTTTCTTAGGTCATAGCTTAGTGCTCGTTTATGCAGAAGAAAATGCCACTGCTGTGTTCAAAAGGCAGTATTTCCAATTGCCTTCCTATTATTTAGCAAGTTCTGTTAGTCATTAATTCTTTTGACTTGAATTCAGAACACTTATCTGTCTAGTTCAGGATTTTTCATACGCTGCAATTTCAAGAAGAAATCTTTATTAGGCCTATCTGAAGACAACAGTGGTTAGTCCTTGATTTTTGGCATGTATAAGGCAAATGGTCTTGTTTACCAATGCAGAAAGAATTATCTATTTATTTCTAACCTTCATCCCAGGTATAAGAGCTGACATATATGGTTCTTTCTTCCACTTCTTGTCTTGTCCTCATAGCAACCATAGGAAGTCAGTCAAGGTTGAGAAGAGATGATTGGCATGACCAAGCTTCACAACTAAGAATGGATTGTAGTTCTAGCTAAATGCCATCCAATAGGGTTTAAGCTCCTGACAACTGGCTGGGGAATTCTGGGAATTGAAGTCCACACATCTTACAGTTACCAAGTTAGAGAAACACTAGCTTAAAGGAACAGTGTAAGATTTGGCTCGAGACCTTTTGATGGTACTTCCTACAGTTTAGGCTATTCTTAAGTAATCATTTCCATTAGAGTGATATTTAATTCAGTGGGCTCCAGCCTGTAGTAAAATAGCTCATTTTCTTCTTCTTTCTCTTCTCGTTCCATTTCCCTAAATGACCCAGTCCAAACACAATGCTCTGTGGAATTACCAATCAGCCATCTTGATTTTAGCTTTATAGAGCAGAATTAATTAGAATGTTTTAGAAACAGGAAAGAGTTTCCTGTTGAAATGGCAGCTGCTTTTCATTGAAATGGTAGACTAGATCTGATGTAGGAGGCGACCAGACTAAGCCCGGGGGAGGAGTCAAACATGTCATCAATCTCGAGTCCGTTTGCACCCAACAAGAGATTTAAGTCCAGCCTACCTTAAATCCTATCTACCACCAATTTGCTTTTACCATTAGTTCAGATTATTGTAGAGAATTTAAGCTTGTAGTAAATCTCTATATATTCATTTGAACTGCTTGGATTTCCTGATTTCCATGCTTGATATCTGATTTATTATAGTCAACAGAGGGGTGAAATCAGTGGTGGGATTAAAAGTTTTTTACTACTGGTTCTGTGGGCATGGCACAGCTGGGTGGGCGTGGCTTGGCGGGCGTGGCAGAGGAAGGTTATAGCACAATCCCCATTCCCCCTCCCTCCTGGGGGAAGGTTACTGCAAAATCCCATTCCCTCCCCACCCCACTAACCTGCTTTCCAGCTCCGTTCTCCTGGGCAGGGCAACCAAAGAAGACCCAGCCGATCACCTGAGACTCAGGAGGCAGAGAATAGATGGGGATGGGGCCAGTTAGAGGTGGGATTTGCCGGTTCTCCGAACTACTCAAAATTTCCACTACCAGTTCTCCAGAACTGGTCAGAACCTTCTGAATACCACCTCTGGGTGAAAGCTTCCCCAGCCTGGTGCCCTCCTTGTTTCTCAGACTGCATGGCCATTAGCTAGGCACAATGGCAAGAAATTATCTGAAGCAGGGGGTCTCCAACCTTGGCAATTTAAAAACCTGTAAACTTCAACTCCCAGAATTCTCCAGCTGGTTATCTGGGGAATTCTGGGAGTTGAAGTCCACAAGACTTAAAAAGTTAGTTTGGAACTGAAAGAAGGTCCACCTCTCCCCACTCAACACCCCCTAATTTTCTCCTAGCACCGAGCCCCAAATCCCTTCCTTCTTTTGCACAACCAACCAAGTTAATAGAAGATTGGCCCCCACCCCCCCACCTGTACCCCCCACCTCCAGTATGGGCTGACAGCATTTAGTGGTTAATTCTGAGAACACATCTTTGAATGCAACGTGCTTTTCCATCCTCACAATCTTTTTATTTTTCTTTCCTCCCTTTCGCTTCTCCCTCCTTCCCCCTTCTCTTTCTTCCCCCTCTTCTCCTATTAAGCGATGCATCTTGGCTTAGTTCAGTTCCTTGTCTGTTGGAACCGTGACGTCAGCGTCTCTCCCTGTGAGTGACCCTTGTGGCAACCTGCAAAACATTATAGACTCTGAATAAGAACTTTCTTATTAGATCTGCAGCTGGCTGGTTGCTGACATATGGCAGCGGGGAAGTTCTGGAAGAAAAGCTTCGATTGACAAAGAACCCAGTCTCTTACACCCTGGTTTATTCTGGCGCTTCTTTCTGTTTATATTATGCCTTGCCAAGGGCATACCTTTTTCATAGTCTTTTTCTTCTTCTTCTCTCCTGCTCTCCATATATGCATACGTGTTTGCGTGTGCAAACACATGCCCAAGATAGGTGTTTAACTTCTGAAAGTTAATCAGAAATGTTTATCAGCCTTTCTTACATTTGAGAAGACAAGGGGCATTTTATGCAGGGTGCTTGAAAGGGATTTACTCAAATTCCTGGTTGAAAATGTGCCTAGTGGCTTAAATTTTTTTTTTTTCCCCCTATGAGGATAAAATACATACCTCACCAGAAAAAAAAAGGGGGGGGGTAGTGTTTGATCTAACAGCTGCGATCACAAAACACACTAAGCCCTACTGTGATTGGTTTGCCTTAGTTCGGAGTGTGAACTGAGGCACTGTGGCTTATAAAATGGCTTATGGTTTAAAGTGTTGTGTGAATGTAGTCAGCTGTGCCTGATTCTATAAACGTGATTAGAACATTAAATGAACACAGCACCAGAACATTTTTTTTTTTTTTTTGCTTCTGATGGGATGATTCTACTAAGGAAAGACAGCACAGAGTTTTACTTTAGGCAGATTTTGTGAAAAGCTCTGAATCTTTTGTCATTATGGAGGTTTGTTCATTTGTTAAATTTCCATACACACAAATGCATATATACCTAAGTTCTCAGCACCAAATTCTTAACAGTATTGGGGTGAGAAGAAAAATAACATGGCTAACAACACACATTAAGCTTTAATATTTTCTGCTGAGTTCAAGTAAATTGGAAGTCTTTATTTGAAGGCTAACCTTAAAAAGCTAGACTTGGACTATCTTACACAAGGGTCTTCAAACTTGGCAAGTTTAAGACTTGTGGGCTTCAACTCCCAGAATTCCCGAGCTAACATGACTGGAGGAGGAATTCTGGGAGTTGAAGTCCACAAGTCTTAAAGCTGTCAAGTTTGAACAACCCTGATCTTAGAATGGGTCTCCAAACTTGGGAACTTCAAGATTTGTGGACTTCAACTCCCAACATGGCTGGCTGAGGAATTCTGGGAGTTAAGGTCCACAAGTTTGCAGACCCTGTCTTAGAAGCCGAAACATTAGAAAATGGTCCACATCAACATATTGTTTTAAAGAGATCAATATACAAAATTCAGAGTAGGGAGCCTACTATCACCAGGGAGAATGTCTATGGTTTGATTAATTCTTATTGGCATTACTTTCAAGACAAGAATGGACACAGGATCAGGATCATGTTCCGATATCTCAGGGGTTGCCACAAAGAAGAGGGAGTCAACCTATTCTCCAAAGAAGGCAGAACAAGAAGCAGTGGGTGGAAACAAATCAAGGAGAGAAGCAACCTAGAACTAAGGAGAAATTCCATGACAGTTAGAACAATTAACCAATGGAATAACTTGCCTTATTGTGAATTCTCCAACACTGGAAGTTTTTGAAAAGAGATTGTCTCAGTATTCCAGCAAACCTCCACTCCAAACAATAACTCCAAGACAGACATCTTCTCAAAAGTTTATTTTGGATAGTATCTGGGACAACTGGGGAATCCTGAATCTGAAAGTTCCGGGCTTCCTTGCAATAAGTAAAAACGTCAAATCCACCCTCTGCACCCATCATTGTATCACATGCCCCAATCACCATCCGTCCCAACTTAAGACTTCCCCTCACTTATGTGCAAAATAACATGACCTTGAATTAGAAAAAGAATGTTATTATGTCTAACTACATACACTCCAAGAAATTCCCCCCTCCCACTTTCCCAGGCTCAAAATGTGGCAGCGTGGGAGCATTTGGTCTCAATATGGCTTCCAAAGCTGACATATTGAAGTGCCATGTGTCTGGAATGGTATAGAGTTTCCTGCCTGAGCAGGGAGTTGGACTAGAAGACCTCTAA